CCCTCTACAGCTTTTTTTCTGGTTACGCCCCTAGCTAGCATGCCAGTGGTTCGATAAATCCAGTTGAAAATAAAACGAAATAATGCTATCCATGCCAGAATAAGTGTACTACATACCATAATCTCACCCAATATTGAATGAGCAAACATATGATTTCCAACTTCATTCTGATCTACCCATTGACCTTTGAGTTTTTCCAAAACGAGAAAGAAACCGAGCAATGTTCCAATGACGGCTAGTGTAAGACTAAATAGATGTATTTGAAACCAAATATCTTCATCGAGTATCTTTTCTTCTTATTAAAATGTACTGAACGGTCATAACGTACATATAAAATCCCTGTTGAAGCAAAAACCACCCAAGAAGATACCATGGCAGTACCATGTGCTCTTGCTAATCTAAAATCTGGCTGTGAGTCGGTAGTTGCCATTTTTTCTTAATGTGTTGTGCGAAAAAACCAATGGAATACGATGTATATGCTTCTTTGAGAATGAAGATGAACCGTTCGTTCACATGCGTCATATATATGCGAATAATTTTTCCCTTGTCATCATTCAAATAAGGATAACTATTTAGTTTTAGCTACTGTCTAAATTTTCTCTCTCATACTTAATGGCATGAGTCAGAACACAGACATCCATAAGAAAACGAAACAGAATGATGAATGCGCAATTCTCGCAGTCTACGTCAGCGTGACAACACAAAAAAAAAATCAAAATGTGAGAAAATTGTATTTTAAATAAATTGACTAAACTTTGAAGCGAAAAGTGAAGAAAAAGTACGTGCGAAATCTTTAATACGGCTGCATGTACGATTGATTGTTGTCCTAGACCATCTTTCATTTATTGGAACCATTAGAACTTTTAAGATCATTCCAATTTATCAGCAAATTGGATTTAAAGATCTTTGTTGTTATTCCTACATTTACTCTTTTTCAATCCAATGAAATTCTATTACTCGTAGGTTCTGACATGAGTCGATCAACCTGTGAATATGTGTCAATAGTTCTTAATATTTGATAATTTTTATTTTGTTTTCTTTTTTACAAAACACGACTGTGAAAGGTTGTCGAAGTGTAAAACGAGAACTTAGTTCCTTCCTCTTCTTCATCTCACATGACCGGTACTTTCAAGAAAACTTCGGTAATGGAATGGTGGTCTCGATAAAAGAAGGCCATAAATTTCTCTGATATAAACTTATACTTATTTAGTTATTTTTTATTACAAACACGACTGCCAATGAGTGTAGAAGCATATAGCGAGCAACTTGTTCCTTGTCCTCCGCCAATAGATGGCTATGCGACAAAATCGACATTTGAATCCAAATTGTAGCTATCATAAAACCTACTATGCTTCTGAGTTTAACTGTGAACCGGATTCTAATTAAAATTGAGTATCTGCCATACATCAGCTATCTCAACACAGGAAAATTACATGATGACTGCGAAAAGCACTATTGAAAAAGGTTTCTATTTTCAATTGAAGATTCTTTTAGTCATTTATTGTTATACAGTTAAGGCCGCCCTCCCCCTCCGAAAATCATGTTTTTGGAAAAAATGTTCAAATTGTGGTTTTATTGAAGGAAGATGCACCTGAGTCTCCTCTTTCAGAATATGTATTGGGTTTCTAGAAATAAGTGATTTTTGAGTATTCTATATAATTTTCTTTGTAATCAACCAGTGGTTTTTAAAGGTATTCAGTAGTTTCTCGGAAATCTTCGCAGCTTTTTAGAAGATATCTCGAAAACTGATAACACCATCGTGTTCGGCATGTAAAGTTGCCTTTATGACCAAATTTTCACAAATGAATGTGGTTCCTAGCATACGTTATAGCATTTTTTCGTCCAGAAGCAACACCTATACTATTTGGTTAAAAATCTATTTTCTTGTTTATCTGATGAACAAATATTCTCAAATTTTAAATGCGTAGGTTTCTCTTTACATCGGGCATGATAGCAATATTAGTTTTAAGGAAAACATCTACGATTCATTTTTCTCGAAAAGAGGCTTAAAAATAATTTTCACTTTGTTTGTCAGTTTTCTCAAAAGCCATTTTTATGCCAATTATCGACAGTAGAACAAATTTTTTTTCAATATACTTCATTCGAGAGAGCTGCAGTTTTCTTTAATCAATCAAACCGTGTGTAATGCTTGAGATGAGGGAAAGGGACTTTCTAGTTAATTGAAAACCTTAGAGAAATCCCGGGTTTTTCAGAAACTTTCTGGAAGGATTTTGAGATTTTGTGGGTTTTTGTCGTTCCAAAATTGAATAAAGGAGAATTTAAAAAGTCCCTTCCCCTCAGCCCAACCGGCAAACCGTTTGTTTTTAAATAAATCAATCCCCGATTCAATCCGTTGACATATAGTGAAAAAGAATTTGTACTGCCGAAAGGTCCATTTTAGGCCTGAATCTCTAGAAGACTTCTGAACGCTAAGGTTTGGAGAAGTGAAAAAAATTTCATAACTATACTTTGATGTGTCCAACATTTGTGGAAAGTTTCATGGAAGTCTCATGCATCGTAACAAAAATAGACTTTGGAGGGGAGAGGAGGCCTTAAATTGAGTCAAGTGTCTAACATACATTATAGACTTTTGAGATTTCTTTAAGTTTCTGATATTTCAATAAGAAGAGAATATTACACTTGGTTTGACAAAAATTCAGTACTAGTGAATAATGCAATGTTTTCGTGAGATTGCGCGAAGTCTTTTATTCATATTTTAATTTAGTATTTGACTAAACGAATGATTTTCTTTCTTTCACAGATGCCCACAGATATAAATTTAAATTCTTACCGATATGCCATGTTTCACATCAAAAATTCGATACAAATCTGTTTTTAAAGATTCTTACTGTTCTTGCTTATTAGCCATATCAATAAAGCTTTCAAATAGTCAATTCAATGTGAAACGTATATCTTTTTAAGTTTTATATCAACTACTTGATTCTGACAATTGGACTTTTTGTGTTGTGACGCACAAAAAGATTTACCATGTTCGAGTCAAATTACGTATCATTCTTACAGTGAAACTAAGAAATTTGATATATGAGCTGCCCGTAACGCATATCAACCACGATTTTCGATTATTAAGATATTCACAGTTTTGTGATAGGAGCATGATTATGATGCAATGACGATTATTTATGGTATATTTCCTAATCATAACTTCTGTATACTATGAAGCTACTTTATTAGTGGTGAAGTTGCAATCGTTCGATAAATATTTTCAATGATGTATTCAGTGAATGCGAATCATTGCCCAACATGTGTTCTAAATCGATTAGCAAAACGTTTTACTAATGACACGTGCGCAGATATAATTCGACGCGCGTAACAAGAAAAATGTTCACTACTTGCAGCACAACATCATCAATGGCTCTAGTGAGAGTTGATAGATCGAAATGATTACATTGAAAGAATAATTATGAATAAAAATAGATTTTACCTTCCTTATTCAACGAGACGTCGTTTGTTTGATTGAAATCGAAATTTCGATACTTTATCGATTCTATTCAGATCGATAACCATTGAACTTCGATCAAAGAAATATCATATCGAATTGAAATTCAACGTTGATTCTCATGTGTCGATGTGTATGGAAATTAATAAATTTTTCTCAACTACTTCAGAATTAATGTGATGTTACTGCTGTTTTGCTTAAATAAAATGACGATAAAAGTAGGATCGAGTCATTGTACAAATATTTTCACTTTGTTTTCATTGTTTTTTCTTATTCACCTTATGATGGGTCGTTTTTTTTGCGCATTGTAACTTGATGACGTATGATCTTTTATTGAAACAACTTATTCTCACCTTGTCCTTGGTATTTTTATTTATCTATATATATTTTTGCTGCTCATGGTTGAAGCTTATTTCGCTGGCTGTGAAAGATAAGAAAACATGCATATCTTCGACAAGGTTGCGTTCTGTATCTCAACACTGAGATTTTATTCAACATAATTATGTACTCAATGTGATTCGCGGAGAATAACGGTTACTCTATTTCATTTATTTAACTGTTTTACATTCATTTCTTTCAATAGACAACTTTTAGACTGCTTTTAGGTACGTCGAATATAAATAGGAATTGAATCATTATTTGGTCTGCTCAACAAGTAGAAGCTTGATGAAAGATGTCACGTTTACTTTTGCTTAATCAATTGCCAGAATCGGACACGTATCCAACGACGATGATCGTCCCGAAAAAACACCAAACTGATTCGAATCAAGTTCTTGACACTCAAGAGCAGGGTAAACTAACCGAACCGATATGTAATCGAATTTCAAGAAAGTAGAATCTATAAAAATATTTAAGAACCTCAGTATACAATCAATGAATCATCGATAGGGACGCATCAAGTCCAAAACTTCACGAGAGTTCGCCATGATTTCTAAATAATAGCTCTTTTAATACATCAACATTTCGTCGTCTAGGATGCGGAGTTTGTATTACAGTTGGTATCATGTCTGATTATTATTTGATTGATATAATTAAATAAAACATTTTTTTAGTGTGTCAACTTGCCTTTTATAATCCAGGTCTATCCAAACATGGTGGAATCCCGCTCTAGAATTAATTATATTTTTTCAGATTTGTTTCAGCTATTAAGAAAGTTATATAAAAAGCTTATCACAATTAAAGCACTATTATTGTCCGAAGAGATGCAACTTAAAGAATCAGTTGAAAATATCTTCCTGATAAGATAAAAGTCATACTTTAAACACGCCAATGAAGTTTCATATCTAACACATATTTTTCTTTGTTTGTTGAATAACGAGCATATTGAATTCGAGAAGCTATGGTGATATTTTTCTGTCAGGCGTAGCCTATTTTTGTGACAATAACGAATTCGTATAAAGTTCCAACGCTGGTTTTCAACGTTGACAAATCCAGTTCCTTAAATAATCTCTTAAAACTTTCGAGTTTGACTTGTTACTACTTGTCTAAAACACCGACACTCATACCCTCAGTAGAATCCACAAATTATCGTAAACTCCTAGGAACGCAAGCTACATGCATAGGTATACACCGTGTCCAAACTTTCCTGGGTCAACTATTTCTAGATCAAGCTACTCCATGGGGCCAGAAATCTCAGGTTCTGTCACTGACATATCTTCAACGATAATAATTAACAATCGATAAGCCACTTTCAGGACAAAAAATGGATCAAAGATCCAAGGATGCTAGAATAGACGAGGCATAGAAGATTGACGATGTTTAACTAGTATGCCCCATCAATAGAATGTACTCGAAGAAATTCGACTGACTAAGCAAAATTCATGATAATATCTAACTGAATGATTGAAAAGTCATAAAGAAATCTGATTGGATTAAGAAATACTATGGAATAGTATAATTGGTTACATGAATACTGAGGTATATTACTACTAATAGTTGCACATCGTAAGATATGTAATTCATAGAAAACGGAATGTTCGCTCCCGAGAATAGTGAAATCCGAAAATATCGGTCTGTCCCCAGATTCGGTACATACATACTCATGGAGTTTTATCTTAATTTCAGATGAAACTGGAATTTAGGCAGTGATACTTCTACCTCTGCTACGTATTCAAAACTTTACTTTTATGTGTTCGCATGAAAGAAGTGCAGTAACACGCGAAAAAGACTTGTTGATATATTTGAATAAAACGCGTCAGTAGAAACCATAATCTTCTCAGAGCTCAAATCGACTCAAATTGATACACTTACATTTTTCTAAATGTTGTTCGACTATTCATTGTCAGATTACGTGATCCTTAACAATAGTATATGGAAGAATTTTCAAGAGTGTTTGAGACTACCGAATTTCATCAAAGTTTACGCAACTATTATGTCATAAGCATATGAACCCATGGAATATTGGTACTATCTTATTCCGATGTTCTTAGATCATCACATTATTTCTCTATACATTTCTAAATCATTTCAGATAGAGACTATTCTAGATATTCCTATAATATATTACATAATTCTACTCGTTGTCGTACAATAGAAATGGCAACAGTAGCTGAATCAGATGTATGTTCAACCTGCAAAAAGCCGTCAGCTAAATTTTTATGCGTGGGATGTAATACATACTTTTGTTCGAAGCATTTCAAAGAGCATGAACAAAAACTCTCAACGAAATTTGACCATGAAATTGTAAAGTCGCATGATGAGCTACTCGACCAAATTCAAAAGTTAGAAAAATCGAATTATTCATCATCGGATCTATTCGCTCAAATTGAACAATGGCGGCAAGCAACAATCGACAAAGTAGAGAAAGCAGCAGAACGAGCTCGTCAAGACCTTACCGAACTACTTGACAAACAAAAAATAACAATAGCGAAACAACTTGAACCAATTACAAAGGAAATTCATAGTCGTCGAGATGAAGATGATTTTGTCGAAAGTGATATTCATCGACTTCGACAACAAATCAATGAAATCCAAGGATCACTTCAACAATTGATTCGAAAAGACACAACCAAAACCATCATTGTTGACAATGATAAAATCGATTGGAATCGACTCATCTACATTCAAGGAGAACAACAAGACTGTGAGTATATGAAAATTGAGACCTTCTTATTCTAAAAAAAATGAAAACTGAGATAAATGGATAGGAAAATAGCCGAGGTCTGATCTTTCATAAATGACATGACTTTTTAATTTCGCACCTAGGTTTTTTCCAAAAATTTGTGTCATTTTCTGCTTAAGAAATATGCCTTTTTGCTCGTGCAATTCAGAGTTCTCAATTAACTAAGCTTTGCTTTTATTACAGATACAAAAACTTATAGTATAAATAGATACCCATATTTAGAGAGATTTTCCAGCCATTGAACTTCTCATATCTTTCCTTTGCTTAAAAATTTCCAAAAGTGAACTAGAAGATTCTTTGTATTATCCAGTTGCCGATTCTTGATGTCGATTTCGGACAGTATCACTACAGTAAAAGAAATATGACTGTTCGAAATGAAAACAATGAGGGTTGAGTGTATTATTGATGTTTGAAATATCGCTTCTTGCAAGTCTGACGAAAAGTCATTCTCTCATATTCATTGATTAGTATTCAGAATGGTAAGTTATAGGAAAGTTCTTGTTTGTGTCTCATCTGCTTTTCTTCTTTCCTTTTTTTAATTCAACTATTGTATTCGACAGTTAATGAGTGTTTCGAAAGACTAAGATTACTTCTCTCTGTTGTTTAGAAAATATTTCGTTTAAGCCACACAAAATTTGAATCTTTGAACTTGAATCATCAACACATTTTATACTGCGAGTGAAGATGTTCATAATTTTTTGAGTATTTTTCTAACCAAACTTATAACTATTTTTGAATTATTCGAGAAATGAAACATTTCTCGAGCAATGATGACTTGAAATAAATTCGAGTCTAATGTAGAAGAAATCGTGTTTGAAAAAATCCTAGAAAGCCGAAAAGTCATCTGAAATTTCTAAGTTCTCTTAAGTCAATGTCAATAATGGCATGGAAGTTCAAGTTGAAATACCTCGAAATGAAACGGGATTTGAATAGTGTTGAGCCAAGAGTTTCAAGGATCGAATAGAGATGATTACGCTTTCTTTCATTGAAAACTAGCAATAAGTTGAACAAAACGATAGATAAGTGGTGAAGGAACTTTCTCTGAATCATCGTTTTAAGAAATTTAAAGTCTAATTTTCATATCTCTCTTTCGACTAACACTCGATAAAAACTAAAGAAATAAATTATGTTAGGGCTGTATCGTGAGATTCTTGATGATCAGAAACAGTTAACAACTTTTTTTCTTATCAAATATTTCCTCATAAAGTGAATGTTCATCTGGTTGATTTTTTAATAATCGAAGTGGAAGATACTGTATGGAGTATTTCTCTAAAGTCTCAATCATATGTTCTTCTAAAAACATTTTTGATTTCATCATTGCAATGATATCAATAGTTCTCAAGTATAATTTAGTTTCAAATAGTATGTTGACGATATTCAATTATTTTCTTTTATTTGAAGAATAGTTGAAAAGAGAAGTCTAATGGAGTCGATTTTAGGAAGAGACATTGTCTTGAAAGTGTTTAGAGTGACACATCAGCTTCGATTCGAATTTAATAATGACTTTGATGATCAAGTGTGATGCTCGTTTAGAAAACTTTCTTTCAAAGAGGAAAAAATCGCTTGTTTTTGTTTTCTTCATTTTAAATAGTAAAACAATGAACTTATCATTGAGAAATTGCATGAACCATAATCTTCCTATGAGAAAACATACATATAGAAAATGTGAGAGACGCAACACAGTACTATTTGTCTAGTGTGTTTCCAGTCTTCAGCCTCAAACTAACGTTTCCAAAATTTCTCACTTCATGGAGTACGTTGAAGTTAACCCTTTGAGTCCCGACTTTTTTTTTACCAAGTTTAACCCTTTGAGGTTCGAATTTTTGTACTGGGCCAAATTTGCTGAAATTTTCAGGATATGTTGGGGCTGTAGTGGAGAGGCTGCGATAAAAATTTCAACCCTATACCATGACGTTTGAGCGAGATATTCACCAAACAAGAGTCAAAAATAGCTCATTTTGCGTCCAATAATTCTCGGTCCAGACTCGTACTATGCGTTCAATTTTTTTTGTTAGACAGAGCATGTCAGGATGCAAGGCATCACAGAACTTTTTTTATAAATTCTTACTTTTTTAGCGGAGAAAGGGGATCATAAGTTCAACGACTCAAAAACCGCGCCAAAAATGGGTGTCTCATTATATAAGTGTCTGCATATATAATAAAAATAAAGCTTAATTAAAAAAAGATACTCTGTAGTGCCCTGCATCTGTATATGATCTTTCAAACAAAAAAAAATTGACTATATTAAATGAGCCTAGACAAAGAATTCTTGGCCACAAAATCAAAAAATCATAAATCGAGAAATAACGAAAAAGAGTTTTTGTGTTTTTATACAAAAGAAGCCTGTTTTTCAAGCAGCTGATTACAGAAATCATGAAAATTTTTAGCCAAAAAGCAAGTTTTGGATAAAAAACCATATAATTTCTGAAAGATCCGAAGACGGGCTATCTTCCTACGTATTTATCTCAATTTTGAAATTTCTGACGAAAATTGACATTTTTTGAGGAAGGGGAGGGCGCAAAAAACATGGCACGGCGTACTTTTTAATGTTTTCCATACACTCTATCATCCGTGTAGTTTTGTACGGATTTCTACTAGCTTCCAACATTTATTGAAAATATTTCTCTGAAATTCTTGTATCTTTGAAAGTGTATGGTGAAGACATAAATTAGCATTATCTTAAGAGATAAACAAAGAATCAAACTTATGATTGGAACACTATTCGTAAAGTCAGAGTAAGCGGCTTTCCTCACATATGATCGACACCGAATTAGCTAGGCCATATTCGATTCGTTTTTCGGTCTTTGTTCCATACTTTCTCTCTCTCTCTCTCTTTCTTAAGCAAAATTCTTTATTTTGAATATCGTTCTTCATCAACTTACATTGATCCAATGTCAATGGACAAAATTGTTTCTAGTTTCAGTACCATTTCTACACAGTGAAAATGTGAATGAAAATGTAAAATGGATACAGAATGGTGTCACTGTGGCTGGAGGAAATGAGCATGGCAATGAAATGGATCAGCTCTATCATCCGTGGGGTCTGTGTGTTGATGATGATCAAATCATCTACATTGCTGAATACTCGAATCACCGTATTACGGAATGGAAATGTGGTGCAACAACTGGTCGAGTTGTGGCTGGTGGAAACGGACAAGGACATCATCATAATCAGTTGAACTATCCGACAGATGTAATTATTGATAAAGAAAATGATAGCTTAATCATTTGTGATTACAACAATAAAAGAGTAGTTCGATGGTCTCGTCAAAATGGTACAACTGGGGAAACGATCATCTCAAATATTGGCTGTTTGGGCTTGACCATGGATGATAATGGATTTCTATATGTTGTTGATCACGATGAGCATGAAGTCAAACGATATCGAATGGGAGAAAGTCATGGAACTGTGGTTGCAGGTGGAAATGGACCAGGGGATGGTCTCAATCAGTTGGATTATCCGAGATACGTATTCGTCGACCGAGATCATTCAGTGTACGTATCAGATTACAATAATCATCGTCTAGTGAAATGGTTAAAAGGTGCAAAACAAGGTATTGTTGTAGCTGGTGGTCACGGTCAAGGGCATGGTCTTACACAATTATCGAATCCCTACGGAATTGGCGTCGATCAGTCAGGTACTGTCTATGTGGCTGACTATTCGAATAATCGAATTATGCGTTGGACTCAAGGAGTCACACAAGGAAATGTCATTGTCGGCGGAAATGGTCATGGAAACCAATCGAACCAACTTCATAGTCCCATCGGTTTGTCATTTGATAGAGAGGGCAATCTGTACGTGAGTGATAATGGAAATCATCGCGTGCAAAAGTTTAACATTGATCGACATTGATGATTTTTAAAATTTAACTTTGCTTTAACGTTTTTTTTATTATGGTTTTGAACAATTGATTGAAGAATAAAGTTATTTTCCATCGATTTCTATCAGAGACTTTTCTTTGCGGTATTTTTAAGGTGTAGGTGTAGGTGTAGATGTCTGAGGTTGTGCGTGTGTTTTTTATTCAATTAGAGTCACATATACATTCTGCCTTCTGAATATGTGCTCGTACATTTCATCGTACAATTATTTTAGTTCATCAGGAGTTTGATTGAGAAAAGATTACATTACATATTCACTAGTATACTTTATTAAATAAGTTGCTAATAATTATAATTCGACCAAAATTTTTTCATGTTGAGTGGAGAAACACCGATTCGAATTAAAAATAAATCGTATAATGGCATTTGAAGGTATAATGCAACTATCATGATAGTATACCAAAGCTAATGAAACGTACTTAAAGGGACAAACATCGATAGATTTGTGCTTGTGTAATTTGCTATGTCATTTTGGTCACCATTCAGTATAGTATTGTCCCATGGAAGTCGATTAGAAAATTTTGATTCAAACCGGTTTCAGATAAAGAATTTTAAATCTACATAGGGCACTACAAAAGTTTTTTCATACAGCGCTTCTAGAAATGGTAATTTGAGGACATCTATTCCACTATAATACTTAAACATATTTAGGACTATGTGCAAAATTTCAGCCGTCCACGCATTACCCATCGTTGTACTTTTCCTTTTTTTTTCATGTCATCCTCGCATCACTTTCGATATGAGTTTTCAACTCTCACGTGAACAATTTCGCACTATGATTTTATATGATTGGAAAATTGGCTTAACATACAAGGATAGCCATGCCCGTTTGGTGCAAGCATGGGGGGAGCAAGCACCTTCTGATCACACAGTCTTCAATTGGTTTCGTGAATTTCAACGCGATAAT